AAAGACGTATTAGTGAATAAAATGGACAATTGCCCTCCCATGGAGCTCACCCTCTGCTGGGTGGAAGGGAGGTCGCAAATGGGTCCATAGTGGGGTGAGTTGGAAGGCGATGAGTTGGAAGGCGGTTTGCCCCACCCCACCCCACCCCCACTGGGGCATTTGTCCATGTACGTGGGCATCTGGTGGGTAGAGGGCCAGGGTGCTGCTGAACATCCCAGAGTGCCCAGCACAACCCCACCCCAAGGACTTGTCTGGCCCCAGATGTCAGAAGTGGGCAAGCGAGAACCCAGGAGCCGCAGGGAAATGGAGGAACAGAGGTCAATAAGACAGTAGGCCGGGCAGGGGCTTGGGGGTACCGGCCGAGAGTGGGCGCTTCCCGCAGACGCCCTCTGAAGGGAAGGGAGTTCACTTGGGGTGGCTGTCTCTTGCAGCCCCACCCCCACGGGTACCGGGCGCCTGGGAATCAAAGCAAAGCTCTGAGCATGGTCTCACTGCACTCGGAAAGTTGGTTACTTCCTTAAACCGGTCATGGCTTTCTTCTTTCATGAGAAAACAGTATCCCCTCTTCCCCCTGGGAATGTCTTTTCACAGTTCAAAAAGAGATAAAAGCGAGAACTAAAACTGCAGTTACCAGCCCGAGTCTTAGGGGAAGTGGATCCCAAATGTCCAGCCCAGACAGAGAGGCCCCTCCACCTGGGGTCTGGCTCCCCAGCCCAGCAGACACGGGGGCCTCGGCGGTTGGAACTGTGATGCCCCCTAGGCCTGGCCCTGGGGTCACAAAGCCAGCGTCCAGGTACACGTCAGCCTGTGCAGGACTCCGAGGACGGACTCCCCCCAGGCCCTCAGCTCACCGTCCAACTGGGGTGGCTATTGGTCCTCTAGGGCCTCCCGCCCCCCGCCACTCACTCTTTTTATGTGTTTTAATAATTTATCTGGCCCATTTCTTGGGCGGGAGACTTACAGTGACACATCTTTTTCTTTGAAGATTTCCCATCCTTTGGGGGAGGAGAATGGGAGAGGAAGCAAGGAAGAGATAAGAGAGAGAGATTATAACAAACGGCTGCGTGGGGCTGGGGACGGAGGCCAGCTTAGGTGAGAGCTGTCAGATATAGAGTGGGAGGTTTTTTTTTGGGGGGGGGGTTTGTTTTGTTTCAAAACCACATCACCCTGGTTGGACGCTTCCACCCCATGCCCAGCCACCAGGTCAGGCTCCTTCAGACACGGCTTCCAGCCTGAAGGACTCTTCCCGGCTCTGGACAGCTGAGCTCTTCCTCTCCAGCACCTATTGGCCTCCTCTTTCCAAAATGAGGAGGCCAGGCCTCCCTCCAGGAGACCCGCTTGAGGCAAGGGCTTGCGTGACTAGCGTCGCTGGCTGCAGGGCCCAACCCATGGTGGGTTCTCTATTGGGAAGGAGAGGAACCTGCTTGTCCGTCCGCCTCAGCCCCAAGGTGTCAGTAAGACAGTAGGAGAGCGGCCAAGGAGGGCGATGGGCGTGGGCATCTGGTGGGTAGAGGCCAGGAGGATGCTGAGCCTCCAGACCCAAATCTGTTCTTGGAAAGAAAAAAAAAACACTTCCCAACCTGAGTTGTTGCTCCCAGTCCCTGGAGGTGCCCCATTTCCTGGTTTTCTGGGAGCCTGGGCATCCTTAAGGGGCCTGGGAGCCGGGTTGGGGTGAGGAGAAGAAAGTTAAATGGCTCTGTGTGACAGAGGTTCAGGGGATTTGGGGGACGGCAGCCAGGGAAGGGAAGAGGGAGTTCTCAAGGCCCCCAGGAGTGTGGGGAGCGAGTGACAGACCAGGGCGCGAGAAGGGGTGCGTCCGGGGAGGTGGGGAGAGCCCAGGCACCCGCAGGGCGGCGGGGTCTCTGGTGCCCTTGGCTCAGCTCTGTGCAGTAATCTGCCCCGGTTACTCCACCCCCAGCAAAGT